CCCCGAATTTTCCCCGAATCTCCCACAAATTCTTCCCAAACCCCCCCAAATTCTCCCCAACCCCCTCCCAGATCCCCCCAAATCCCTCCCAAATCTCCCCAAAACCCCTCCCAAACCCCCCCCGAATCGCCCCCAAATTCTTCCCAAATCCCCCCAAATTCCCCCAAATTCTTCCCAACCCCCCTCCCAAATCCCCCCCAATCCCTCCCAAATCTCCCCCAACCCCCCCCCCAAAATCCCCCCCCAAAAATTTGGGGAGCAAAGGGAGGGGCGACCCCACCCCCCAACCCCTCCCTGGACCAAAGGGGTTTTTTTTTGGGAGCCTAACGGGGATTTTGGGGGGGGTCTCTTCGCAGGGGCAGTTGTGGGGTGACCCCGCCCCTCCTCCCCGGGACCCCCCAAAATTTGGGGTCACGATGCAGGAGAACTACGAGAACGTGATTTCCTTGGGTAAGGGGGGGGGCACCCCAAAATTTGGGAGGGGAGGGTGTTGATTTTGGGGGGGGAGGGTCATTTTGGGGTCCAAAAACGGGGCAAAACGTGGCCAAAAAAAGGGGTGAGTTTGGCCAAAAAATGGGATGAAGTTCGTCCAAAAATGGGGCGAAAATTGGTCGAAATGGGGTGAATTTGTCCCAAAATGGGGGCAGAAATCAGCCCAAAGTGTGACAGGTTTGGCCTAAAAAAGGGACGAAATTTGGTCAAAAATAGGGCAAAAACGGGGCAAAAATTGGCCAAAAATGGGGCGCAGTTTGATCAAAAACAGCCAAAATTTGAGGAGACATAAGGCAGGATTTGGCCAAAAAATGGTCCAAATTTGGCAAAAAATGGGGGGAAATTTGGCTCTAAATGGGATAAATGTGGCCCAAAAAAATGCCTAAAATTTGGCAAAAATCAGCCACCAAAAAACGGGCCAAATTTGGCCCAAAGTGGGGAGGGTTGGTCCTGAATTGTCTGGGGGCTGGGAATGTTGAGCTCCCGCTTTTCCGGCAGCCGAGGAAATCGCCATCAGCTGGCCCCGGATCACGGCCTTCGCCGAGTCCCACCGGAGACGGGGGCTGGTGTCGGGTGAGTCCCGGGGGGAAACCGGGGCCAATTCCGGCGATTTTGGTCAAAAACCCCAACAAAACCCAATAAAACCCCCAAACCCACCAATATTGGGGTTTTTTTCCCATTAATTGGGTTTTTTTTCCATTAATTAAACCCCCCAAAATTGGGGGAGTTCTGGAGGTTCGGGGGAACACCTCGATAAACCCCCCCTGGAACCGGTTTGAATCCCGTAAGTTTTTTTTTGGGATTTTCGGAATCCGGTGGGGAATTTTTAATTTAATTCCTTCGGGGTTTTTGGGAGGGGAAAAACCACCCCGAATTCAGCTGAATTCCCTAAGATTTTCAGGAATCCTCCCCAGTCTTGACCAAACCCCTTGGGATTTTTGGGAATATCCCCCCCCCCAACTTGACCAAATCCCTTGAGATTTTCGGGAAACTCCCCAGATTAGGGATTTTGGGGAATCCCGCCCGAATCGGAGCCGATCCCTGAGGTTTCGGGGTCTTTTCCAGGCGTGGAGGCCGAGGGGGAGCAGGGCCAGCCCGAGCCCACCCAGGTGGCCCCCCCGGGGGTCTCGGGCGATGGGGGGGTGAATCCCGACCTCCGGAGGCAGCTGGGGCTCATCCTCCAAACGGCCGGAAGGACCCAGGTGGAAAAGATGCTCCGGGAGCTCGTCAGGGAACAGGGACAGGGCGGGAAGCGCCGGAACCGGAAGAAGGCGCCCAAGGACGGAGGTAAAATTCGGGAAGGAGCTTCCCAGGGAAACCACCCCCCCCCCACCCCGAGGGGCTCCGGGAGACCTTCAAGGGGGGAAGGGGGTTGGGAGCGTCCCGTGGGAAAAGGGGGGAGGCTCGGTGGGTTCCTGGTGGGATTTGGGGATGGGTTGGGTGGGAAAAGGTCAACTGGACCTTGGCCGAGGTCAAGCTCAACCAGACCACGGTGTCGTGGAAGAGTTTGGGGTGGAAAAGGGACTTTGGGGGTCAACTGGACCTTGACCAAGGTCAACGTCAACATCAACCAAATCCATGGGGTCGTGGAAGAGTTTGGGGTGGAAAAGTGGGTTTAGGAGTCAAACGGACCTTGGCCAAGGTCAATGTCAACCCAATCCATGGGGTCATGGAAGAGTTTGGGGTGGAAAAAGGGCCTTGAGGGTCAACTGGACCTCGGCCAAGGTCAACGCCATCAATGACCCTCAAGGTCCCCCAAAACAACTCTGGGGGGGCTCCATCTTCACTCTGGGGGGGTTTCACGGGGAAGTAACTCCCGGTTTCCCCCCACGTCCCAGGAGCCGGCGCCGGCAGCGGCGCCGAGGACGATCCGGCGCCGCGGGACGACGAGGAGCCGCCGCTGGAAGATGCCGCCCGACAGCAGGACGAGGAACCCGCCGCCGACCCCCCCGGCGCCGGCAAAGCCCCGGGAGGCCGGAAGGCCACCCAGGGCGGCTGCGCCAAGTGCGGGAGCCCGGCCAAGCCCCGGCGCTGCTCCGAGTGCCACCGGCGCCGCCGGCAGCCCGAGAAGCCTCACCGCTGCGGGGACTGCGGGAAGGGCTTCAGCCGAGGCTCCAACCTGGCCCAGCACCGGCGCATCCACACCGGGGAGCGGCCGCACCGCTGCGGCGACTGCGGCAAGGGCTTCATCCAGCGCTCCGACCTGGAGCGGCACCGGCGCGTCCACACCGGGGAGCGGCCGTACCCCTGCGGGGACTGCGGGAAGCGCTTCAGCGTCAGCTCCCACCTCGACCGGCACCGCCGGACTCACGCCGGGGGGCCCGGGCCGCCCTCCCAGACCCGCCCGCGGCACCGCCCGGCACCACCACCCGAAGCTCCGGCGACGGCGGCGGCGGCGGCGGCTCCTCCTCACCGCTGCGGGGAGTGCGGGAAGGGCTTCGCCCAGCGCTCGGCGCTGGCCAAGCACCGCAAGACGCACAGCGGGGAGAGGCCCCACCGCTGCGGCGACTGCGGCAAGAGCTTCAGCCGCGGCTCCAACCTCACCCAGCACCGCCGCATCCACACCGGCGAGCGGCCCTTCGCCTGCGGCGACTGCGGCAAGGGGTTCATCCAGCGCTCCGACCTGGAGCGGCACCAGCGCGTGCACACCGGCGAGAGGCCCTACAGCTGCGGCGAGTGCGGCAAGAGCTTCAGCGTCAGCTCCCACCTCGACCGGCACCAGAAGATCCACGCGGCGCAGAGGGCGTCGGCGTCCTCCTCCTGCCGCTGCTGCTGCCCCCCCGAGCACCTCTCTGGTTTCCTGGCCGCCCACCGCCACGGCCGCCTCTTCCAGTGCGCCCAGTGCGGGCGCTGCTTCGGCCAGGGCGCGGCGCTGCTCAAGCACCAGCGCGCCCACGGCGGCGGCGCCGGCACGACGGCGCAACCTCAGAAGTGCCCGGACTGCGGGAAGAGCCGCGGCTGCCGGGGGCAGCGGTGCCCGGACTGCGGGGGGGACGCGGCGGGTCCCGGCGCGGCATCGGCGGCACCGGCAACGGAGGCGGCGCCGGAGAAACCCTACAAGTGCGGGGAGTGCGGGAAGGGCTTCGGGCAGCGCTCGGCGCTGGTGAAGCACCGGCGCATCCACACCGGCGAGAAGCCCTACCAGTGCGGGGAGTGCGGCAAGGGCTTCATCCAGAAGTCCGACCTCACCATCCACCGGCGGATGCACACCGGCGAGAAGCCCTACAGGTGCGGCGAGTGCGGCAAGTGCTTCAGCGTCTCCTCCAACCTCATCACCCACCAGCGCACCCACCTGGGCGAGAAGCCCTACCAGTGCTCCGAGTGCGGCAAGAGCTTCATCCAGCGCTCCGAGCTCACCATCCACCAGCGCGTGCACACCGGCGAGAAGCCCTACAAGTGCCCCGAGTGCGGCAAGTGCTTCAGCCGCAGCTCCCACCTCAACCGGCACCAGCGAACCCACGGCGGGGACAAGCCCAAGGCGGTGGTGGCCGCCGGTGGTACTGCCGTGGCCACCGAGGTGCCGCCGCCGCCGCCGGGCTCCGGGGGCTTCCCCGGCGCCGCCTTCCCGTCCCCGGTGGCCTCGCTGGGGTCGTTCCCGGCGTCGCCCTCGGCGCTGCCCGTGCCGGCGCTCTCCGGCCCGGCCCTGGAGCTGCCCTGGGCGCTCTCGTTCCCCGG